ATACACGTTTACGATGCGAATGCCAGAATCGAGGTCCATCCACATTAGACTGTCATTAGTGTCCCTGAAGTAGCGCAGCACAAAACCAGTGAAGCGCGGCATCAATACGATAGCCACGCCCCGCGAACCGCTCGCGCCATAACCCTAGTAGGACCTGGTGCCAAACGTTGCGTCGAAGGACCTGATCTGACCGAGTCGATGAACGTAAGTCTCCTGTAGTACGAGGATATCTACTTTCTAGCACGAGCTAGCTCGATAACTGCGTTCTGTTTTGCGGCGCGAGAGAGGCCGCGACAGTTGAAGGAAGCGATAGTAAGAGAAAGAAAAGTCATATATAGAGATTAGAAAAAGTGCGCGAGTTGCGCGAAAGAGGCGAACAGAAGGGCGAGGGGAAGGAAACGGTGGTATGCGATCACGAGCAAAGCTGCGGACTCTCCCGCGACGGAAGAGACCGGTGTGAACGCGTACGACGTGTCCAAAAGCTCGTAACAGCGGCATGGGACCGACTTGCAGAAGTCGCACGGAGTCGGGCTCCCTGCGTCCATCTCTGAGTCTTCCACAGTGGTAGACGACGAATCGTCGTTCACCGCTGCGGTTGCTGCGTGGCGTTTGTACTCGGGCGAGGCGCTCTCCGAACAGCTAGAATCAGACGAGGACGTTGACCTTTCTCTCGCGGCCGCCGTTGCCCGTGCTCGACTGCCGCCCCGCTTGCGGCGACGAGGTGACCTCCTTCGCCCCTTGACAACTGACGGAGAAGGCTCCTTCTCGCCATCGCGGGGAGAGGGGGAAGCAGTTGCGCTGCCTGTTTAGGAGTTGAGGGGTGAGTCTCCTCCTTCTTTTTCTGTGCCTGGGCACGTTTTTGTGCTTGCACGGGTGTTTTGGCGCATGGCGCTGGCTTTTTCGAAGTGCTTTGAGGGGTCTCGACGGGTTTTGGCTCCTTCTGTGTTTGCACGGGTGTCTTGGCGCGTGGCACCGGCTTCTTAGAAGCGGTCAGAGGGGCCTCGACGGGTTTTGGCTTCTTCTCTGTTCGCACATGTGTGTCGGCGCGTTGCGCCGGCTTTTTCGAAGCGGTCAAAGGGGCCTCGACAGGTTCTGGCTCCTTCTTGTCGCTTTTTTTCACCTCGGCTTCTCCTGGTGCAGCCTCAAGGGCTTTGCCCTGCTCCCCTTTGTCCGAGATTGTAGGCGCTGGCGCGCCCTGACCCTCCGCACTAACCACGGCCGGAGGCGCGACCTGCGGCACACTGGGCCGCGTGGCTGCCTCCGAATACAGCCTCTGCTTGCAGAGGTGTGGAGGGTGATCCCCGCCGCAGCACTTGCAAGGCGCGTCGCATGTGGGAGGCCCCCACTGCTGGCACCGTGCGCACCATGGCGTGGTGCACATTTTTCTTTCGTGACCCGGCAGCCATCACTTGGGACACAAGCGCACAGCGCCGTCGTACTCGCACCGAACGACGTGCCGTCCACGTCAGCGATATTGGGCACGGGAGAACGAAGCTCCATGCGAGCACGTCGGTTTCCGGTTGTGATGCGGAGACCGGTCAGGTTGTCATCCGACATATTCTGCACCTTGCCGTAGACCTCAAGTGCTCGGCTGAGCACTTTGTCGCTGGCCTCCGCGGGATACTCGTATACGCAAACAGAAACTGTCCGCAGCCCTCGATATTCATAGCGAATACCGGTTTCCTTGACCTTAATGGTCGCGGAATCAGCTAAGAAGCGATCGACCGCGACCTTGTTTCTAAAAGTAACCTCAAAGTTGCTACCTCCGAAATCCTGCACGGATTTCAGATCGTTCTCTTTAAAGCGTTCGAGGAACGCCTTAGCGAGTTCCAGGTTGGTCGTACCTTTCGGTACACGACCGGCAAACAATCGGGCGAACCCGCGAAGGGGCTACCATCGTGGCCTTCCACGTGGCAGCCCTGCTAAGACTAGGCTACGCTACCAGCTTTGCGCTAGCCTAACAACCCAGGTGGGCCCAGCAAAAGAGGTAAAAGAGTGGTCGCCAGTCTCACCAACAGTCGCTGCTGGTAATCCGAAAAAATCCAATAAATCCGGGTTCTCAGGCGGACATGACGGCTTCGCCATTCCTATCTGTCCATTTTGGAGCGGCGCTTCTGAACGTTTGACGGTCAATACGATCCAGCACGCAATTGAAATCCCCCACCAGTACGACTCGAGAGGGGCCGACTAGGTGGTCATCCAATACGGCAAAGAATTCTTTCTGTGAGCGGAAGTCGCCTGGAGCATACACGTTTACGATGCGAATGCCAGAATCGAGGTCCATCCACATTAGACTGCCATTAGTGTCCCTGAAGTAGCGCAGCACAAAACCAGTGAAGCGCGGCATCAATACGATAGCCACGCCCCGCGAACCGCTCGCGCCATAACCCTAGTAGGACCTGGTGCCAAACGTTGCGTCGAAGGACCTGATCTGACCGAGTCGATGAACGTAAGTCTCCTGTAGTACGAGGATATCTACCTTTCTAGCACGAGCTAGCTCGATAATTGCGTTCTGTTTTGAGGCGCGATAGAGGCCGCGACAGTTGAAGGAAGCGATAGTAAGAGAAAGAAAAGCCATATATAGAGATTAGAAAAAGTGCGCGAGTTGCGCGAAAGAGGCGAACAGAAGGGCGAGGGGAAGGAAACGGTGGTATGCGATCACGAGCAAAGCTGCGGACTCTACGCGACGGAAGAGACCGGTGTGAACGCGTACGACGTGTCCAAAAGCTCGTAGCAGCGGCACGGGACCGACTTGCAGAAGTCGCACGGAGTCGGGCTCCCTGCGTCCATCTCTGAGTCTTCCACAGTGGTAGACGACGAATCGTCGTTCACCGCTGCGGTTGCTGCGTGGCGTTTGTACTCGGGCGAGGCGCTCTCCGAACAGCTAGAATCAGACGAGGACGTTGACCTTTCTCTCGCGGCCGCCGTTGCCCGTGCTTGACTGCCGCCCCGCTTGCGGCGACGAGGTGACCTCCTTCGCCCCTTGACAACTGACGGAGAAGGCTCCTTCTCGCCATCGTGGGGAGAGGGGGAAGCAGTTGCGCTGCCTGTTTAGGAGTTGAGGGGTGAGTCTCCTCCTTCTTTTTCTGTGCCTGGGCACGTTTTTGTGCTTGCACGGGTGTTTTGGCGCGTGGCGCTGGCTTTTTCGAAGTGCTTTGAGGGGTCTCGACGGGTTTTGGCTCCTTCTGTGTTTGCACGGGGGTCTTGGCGCGTGGCACCGGCTTCTTAGAAGCGGTCAGAGGGGCCTCGACGGGTTTTGGCTTCTTCTCTGTTCGCACGTGTGTGTCGGCGCGTTGCGCCGGCTTTTTCGAAGCGGTCAAAGGGGCCTCGACAGGTTCTGGCTCCTTCTTGTCGCTTTTTTTCACCTCGGCTTCTCCTGGTGCAGCCTCAAGGGCTTTGCCCTGCTCCCCTTTGTCCGAGATTGTAGGCGCTGGCGCGCCCTGACCCTCCGCACTAACCACGGCCGGAGGCGCGACCTGCGGCACACTGGGCCGCGTGGCTGCCTCCGAATACAGCCTCTGCTTGCAGAGGTGTGGAGGGTGATCCCCGCCGCAGCGCTTGCAAGGCGCGTCGCAGGTGGGAGGCCCCCACTGCTGGCACCGTGCGCACCATGGCGTGGTGCACATTTTTCTTTCGTGACCCGGCAGCCTGCATCTTGGGACACAAGCGCACAGCGCCGTCGTACTCGCACCGAACGACGTGCCGTCCACGTCAGCGATATTGGGCACGGGAGAACGAAGCTCCATGCGAGCACGTCGGTTTCCGGTTGTGATGCGGAGACCGGTCAGGTTGTCATGCGACATATTCTGCACCTTGCCGTAGACCTCAAGTGCTCGGCTGAGCACTTTGTCGCTGGCCTCCGCGGGATACTCGTATACGCAAACAGAAACTGTCCGCAGCCCTCGATATTCAAAGCGAATACCGGTTTCCTTGACCTTAATGGTCGCGGAATCAGCTAAGAAGCGATCGACCGCGACCTTGTTTCTAAAAGTAACCTCAAAGTTGCTACCTCCGAAATCCTGCACGGATTTCAGATCGTTCTCTTTAAAGCGTTCGAGGAACGCCTTAGCGAGTTCCAGGTTGGTCGTACCTTTCGGTACACGACCGCCAAACAATCGGGCGAACCCGCGAAGGGGCTACCATCGTGGCCTTCCACGTGGCAGCCCTGCTAAGACTAGGCTACGCTACCAGCTTTGCGCTAGCCTAACCACCCAGGCGGGCCCAGCAAAAGAGGTAAAAGAGTGGTAGCCAGTCTCACCAACAGTCGCTGCTGGTAATCCAAAAAAATCCAATAAAGCCGGGTTCTCAGGCGAACATGACGGCTTCGCCATTCCTATCTGTCCATTTTAGAGCGGCGCCTCTGAACGTTTGACGGTTAATACGATCCAGCACGCAATTGAAATCCCCCACCAGTACGACTCGAGAGGGGCCGACTAGGTGGTCATCCAATACGGCAAAGAATTCTTTCTGTGAGCGGAAGTCGCCTGGAGCATACACGTTTACGATGCGAATGCCAGAATCGAGGTCCATCCACATTAGACTGCCATTAGTGTCCCTGAAGTAGCGCAGCACAAAACCAGTGAAGCGCGGCATCAATACGATAGCCACGCCCCGCGAACTGCTCGCGCCATAACCCTAGTAGGACCTGGTGCCAAACGTTGCGTCGAAGGACCTGATCTGACCGAGTCGACGGACGTAAGTCTCCTGTAGTACAAGGATATCTACCTTTCTAGCACGAGCTAGCTTGATAACTGCGTTCTGTATCGCGGCGCGAGAGAGGCCGCGACAGTTGAAGGAAGCGATAGTAAGAGAAAGAAAAGGCATATAGAGAGATTAGAAAAAGTGAGCGAGTTGGGCGAAAGAGGCAAACTGAAGGACCAGGGGAAGGGAACGGCGGTATGCGATCGTGAGCTAAGCTATGGATTCTCCCGCGACGGGAGAGACCGGTGTGGACGGGTACGACGTGTCCAAAAGCTCGGAACAGTCGCACGCGACCGACTTCAGGAGTCGCACGTAGTCGGGCTCCTTGCGTCCATCTCTGAGTCTTCCACAGTGATAGACGACGATGAATCGTCATTCACCACTGCTGTTGCTGCGTGGCGTTTGTACTCGGGCGAGGCGCTCTCCGAACATCTAGAATCGGACGAGGACGTTGACCTTGCGCTCGCGGCCGCCGCTGCCCGTGCTCGACTGCTGCCGCGCTTGCGGCGACCAGGTGACCTGCCTCGCCTCTTGACAACTGAGGGAAAAGGCTTCTTGCCATCGCGGGGAGAGGGGGCAGCGGGTAGCGCTGCCTGTTTAGGAGATGAGGGGCGAGCCTCCTCCTTCTTTTTCTGCGCCTGGGAACGTTTTTGTGCTTGCACTGGTGTTTTGGCGCATGGCGCTGGCTTTTTCAAAGCGCTCCGAGGGGCCTCGATGGGTTTTGGCTCCTTCTGTGTTTGCACGGGTGTTTTGGCGCGTGGCGCCAGCTTCTTAGAAGCGCTCCGAGGGGCCTCGATGGGTTTTGGCTCCTTCTGTGTTTGCACGGGTGTTTTGGCGCGTGGCGCCGGCTTCTTAGAAGCGGTCAGAGGGGCCTCGACGGGTTTTGGCTCCTTCTGTGTTTGCACGTGTGTGTCGGCGCATTGCGCCGGCTTTTTCGACGCGGTCAGAGGGGCCTCGACAGGTTCTGGCTCCTTCTTGTCGCTTTTTTTCACCTCGGCTTCTCCTGGTGCGGCCTCAAGGGCTTTGCCCTGTTCCCCTTTGTCCGAGATTGTAGGCGCTGGGGTGCCCTGACCCTCTGCACTAACCACGACCGGAGGCGCGACCTGTGGCACACTGGGCCGCGTGGCTGCCTTCGAATACAGCCTTTGCTTGCAAAGGTGTGGAGGGTGATTCCCGCCGCAGCGCTTGCAAGGGGCGTCGCAGGTGGGATGCCCCCACTGCTGGCACCGTGCGCACCACGGGGTGGTGCACATTTTGCTTTCGTGACCCGGCAGCCTCTGCCCCGCCGCGGTGGTCTAGTGGCTAAGGTACTCGGCTGCTGCTGCAGGTTGAAATCCCGGCTGCAGCGGCTGCATTTCTGGTGGAGGCGGAATTGTTGTAGGCTGTGTACTCAGAATCCCTTGTTGTACCCAAGTAATCAGAATCCCAGAAGTATTGCAGCACGGTACCCGTAAAGCACGGCATAAAAACGATAGCCACGCCCGTGAGCCGCTCGCGACAAAACCCTAGTAGGACCTGGTGCCAAACATCGCGTCGAAGAACTTAATCCTACTGAGTCGATGAACGTAAGGTTCCTGTAATACGAGAATATCTACCTTTCTAGCACGAGCTAGCTCGATTATTGTGTTTTGTTTTGCGGCGTGAGAGAAGCCGCGATAGTTGAAAGAAGCGATGGTAAGGGAAAGACAAATCATAGTGATAGATTAGAAGAAGCGCTCGAGTTGCGCGAAGGAAGTGAACAAAAGGCTAAAGGAAAAGAACTTCTACACGCTGGTCGTGAGCTAAGCTACGGGCTCTCCCGCGATCTGAGAGACCGGTGTGGACGGGTACGACAGGTCCGAAAGTTCGGAACAGCCGCACACGACCGACTTGCAGAGGTCGCACGAAGCCCAGTCCATCTCGGAGTCCTCCACGGTGGTAGTTGACGAATCGTCATCCGCCATCACAGTTGCTGCGTGGCGCTTACACGTGGGCGAGTCGCTTTTCCAACGGCTAGATTCGGATGAAGTTAAGTTTTCTCGCGGCCGCAGCTGCCCATGCTCGGCTGCCGCAGCGCTTGCGAGGATGAGGTGACTTCCCTCGCACCTTGACAGCTGGGGTGGAAGGCGCCTTCTCGCCAACGACGGGAGAGGGGGCAGCGGGTTGCGCTGCCATCTTAGAAGTGGAGGGGTGAGCCCCTTCCTGCTTTTTTTGCAGTTTGACGGGTTTCGGTGCTTGCACAGGTGTGTCGGCGCTGAGAACCGGCTTTTGCGAAGTGGTGAGAGGGGCCTCAACCGGTCTTGGCTCTTTCTATCCGCTATTTTGTACCATGCCTCTCCTGGTCCCGCCTGAATCGTTTCGCCCTGCTTCCCTTTGTCCAAAGTCTTACGGGCTGGCGCGCCCTGAACCTCTGCACTGACTGCGGTTGAAGGTTCGACCTTTGCGGCACACTGGACCACGTGGTTGCCTCCGAGTACAGCCTTTGCTTGCAGAGGTGTGGAGGGTGATCCCCACCACAGCGCTTGCAAGGTGCGTGCGTCGCAGGTGGGATGCCCCCACTGCTCGCACCGTGTGCACTGCTGCGTGGCGCATTTCTTTCTTTTTTGACCCGGTAACCTGCACATGCGACACAAGCGCGCGACGCCATCGTACTTGCATCGAACGACGTGCCCATTGACATCAGTGATGTTCGGCACGGGAGAAGAAAGTTTGATGCGGGCACGTCGGTTTCCGGTTGTAATCCAGAAACCGGTCAGGTTATTCGTCGAAATACTCTGCACTTTATCATAGATCTTGAGTGCTTGGCTGAGCATCTGGTCGCTGCCGTCGGCAGTATACTCGAAAACGCGTACAGAGACTGTCCGCAGCCCTCGATATTCGAAGCGAATATCGGATCCTTTGACCTTAATGGCCGCGGAATTCGCTGAGAAGCGATCGACCGCTACCTTACTTCTAAAAGTAACCTTAAGTTACTGCCTCCGAAATTCTGGATGGATTTCAAGTCATTCTTGCTCAAGCGTTCTAGGAGCGCCTTAGCGAGCTCCAGGTTGATGTTGCTGTCAACTACTTCTCAGCGTTTTTGATTGATGCTGCAACAAAATGCATCCGACAAACAAATGGACACCCTGGAAAACGGCGTGTGCCATGGTGGAACTCTGAATGCGGAAACGCCGCAAACAGCAAAACAGAGCATGGAGGTTGCTTCGGAACTCACCGACAGCCGAAAACCTTGACACCTTTAACAAGACAGTCTCAAGGCAGGAGAAGGCTTCGGCAGGCCGGAAGAGAAAGCTTGCAGAAGTTCTTGTCATGGATCAATTCATACACACAGGAGGCGAAAGTCTGGAACATTGTTGGTAGGATAGCAGGAAAACAAGTACTTACACTTCCACTCGTAAACACTCGGGGGTAAACCTTGGAAGATCAGGCAAACTTCCTCGATGCACACTTAAAACAGGTGTCCAGCTCGTCCCACTATACTGACACCTTACAAAAATACAGAACAAAAATAGAAAAGCAGAAACTCGAACACAAATGCACTAGATACGAGGCATATAACCAAGCTTTCAGTCTAGCTGAGCTCCGAATATCTCTAAACTCCTGCAGTACTTCTGCCCCAGGTTCTGACTGTGTGGTGTATGAAATGTTAAAACACCTACCAGCTGAAACACGAAAAACCTTACTTTGTACAATGCTATCTGGTTTTCTGGCACTATCTTTACCTCGTGGAAAGAGGCTATTGTTATTCCCATTTTGAAAGAGGGCAAGGACCCTTCTTTAGCTTCGAGTTATAGGCCTATTGCACTTACAAGGTGCTTGTGCGAAGTCTTCGAAAAATGATAAACTGCCGACTTGTACATTTCCTTGAAACAAACAATTTGCTCGACCCATTTCAGTGTGGGTTGAGAGAGTAGATCCACCACAGAGCACCTTGTTCGTATCGAGGCACAGATCAGACGCCTTCGTCCATAAACAATATTTTCTCTTTGTGTTCCTCGATATCGAAAAGGCTTATGATACAACATGGGTTAGGGCACAAATGCTCGTTTTTACAGCTACGGCTTTGGGCTGGTGCACACCAGCGACTAGCCGCGATCGCGCGACCTTTCGCGAACGGTCGCAAACGGTCGGAAAGTGACTGCTTTGGCTAGCCGCTTCCTGACCGATTTTTTGGTCGCGCGACTGCAGTCGCAAAACAGTTTAACCAATCAACGAAGACTACAAGTGACATCAGCATTTGTTTACATTTGGGCTCCTCGTATGTTTTTTTTGTCGTTGCGCTTGACTACTGCCGAGAGGTACGAACGACGCGTGCGTTGCTCCAGGGATTTTTCCTCGCGTCAGGCGAATGCCACCATGGCCAGCTTTGAGTACTCGGCCGAGCTCCTCATCGACGCGATAAAAATGTACCCATATCTATGACAAGTGGCACCCTTCTTTTAAAGATCGGACGAAAAAGGGACCGGGCTTGGGCAGAGATCACAAGCATGTTCGGCATGTCGAGTAAGTACCGAGATTTTTTGTTTGAATAGCTATATAAGCAAGAACAGTGGTGTACTGCATGGCTGGCGTTGCCAATGAATGAACAATGAAATTATTGGTATTTGTACTGGAAGGTGACATGGTTAGTTTGCATTAGATGTATTGACTGTGATGTATTCGAGTGCAGTTGTGTGCACGTTTATTTTCGCGACTTTCCGAGTTTAACATCGAAATCGACGTGACAGAACATTGTATAGCTGATAATAAAGCTCAGACATTCGAAATACTGCTCGCGGTTCCCAACTCACCTAGCGCATGCTCCTTGCTGTGTTTGTACGTCATCGTCTCGCCAAGGGAATGTGTGCTTTTGTGAACGTGCGGCCTTTTTGCAATGCATATCTAGTGCGCGGTGAGGGAGGGGGGGGGGTGTTACGTTTTCATTCTGCCTATGTATTTCAGTTGTGCTGTTTTAAAAAAGAATACAAAGTAGCTTCTGCTTTGAGCAAAGTTTGTGCGCTCCATAGAGGAGCGCACATTAAGACATACAAAACATGTTTAGCAGCATTCTCAAATGTCCGGATTTGGGAGTCAGACATGCTGTTGATGCCAAATGACATGCAATTGTAAAAAAAAGATATGGTAGTGTTCTAGTGGCTGGACGAACACTGAAGGAAAGTACAGATGGGGGAATTTATTCCTCTGTAATGTGGCCCATATCTACTCCTCATTTCTTCACAACTGTTGCTTTCCTCTCGTGTTTGTCTTTTGGTGCCTTTATATCTCGATTATTCCTTTCTTCCTCGCCCCGCTGTAAAGTGTATGCGCACATGACCACAACAACACTTGCACCAGTACTGCGACAAACTTCAAGTTCAAAATTAAGGGCAATTTCACTTGTGATACTGCACTTATGATACTCAACGCTCAAGAGAGCACTTGTGTCTTGTTCAGCCAAAAGAGGTGCCTCCACCTTACCCTAACATTGACCTGCATGGTCAGTCTCTGTCAGTGAAGACAGAGCACAAGTTTCTTGGTTTCATATTAGACACTAAACTAACCTTCATCCCACACATCAAGTATTTAAAGGACAGGTGCTTAAAAACAATGAACATTTTGAAAGTGTTGTCACGCACTACATGGGGTAGTGACACGAAATGTCTAATTAATTTATATAAAAGCCTTCTACTCACACGCCTAGATTGTGGTGCTATAATCTATCAGTCAGCAACACCATCAGCCTTGAAAATTCTCGACCCTGTCCACCATCTAGGCATTCGCCTCTCGACAGGTGCTTTTCGAACCAGCCCTGTGGAAAGCTTGCTTGTCTGTGGATTCGAATGAATGGTGGCTCCACCTATAAAGATGTTCCCTGTCCTTTTTGTACTTTTTGAAGGTGAAGGCTGAGAAGAAACACTCTTCTCATTTCACAATTAATGATTTGTCTTGTTGTGGCTCGTTCGAGAACCGTCCTTCGTTTAGGCAGCCTACGCGCTCCGTGTAAGGGGTCTGGCTGAAGAAACAGGTTCGCCTTTTCTTGAACACAGTTTGATGGCTCCTGCAACATATCTGCCACCGTGGCAGTGGCAGCTTATAGACTGTGATGTCTCTTTTGTTGAAGTCGCAAAGCACGCACCACTTGCCCACATACATACATACTTCCTAGAACTACAACATGAATACACATGCCCTGAGTTCTTTACCGATGCGTCAAAGTTAAACACTTCTGTGTCATATGCAGCGGTAGGCCAATCCTTTTCTGAGGCCGGCATTCTTCATTCTGATGCAAGCATTT